ACAAAATGCTTTAAAATGTGTTGTCATGTTTAATTAACTCTTCTTTACTTGAATAAAAGGGTAAAATAGTGGTGCTTGTGATGTAAACAAACGCTCAGCTGACGAACCCGCTTTCGCAAACTTTTTTCTCAAAACCAGTTACAAATACAACGTCGCGTTCTTACGTGATCTTGAATTTTTGGTTCATGGTACTTACCCGTCTAAAAAACATATGTACATCAGGGTGGTCCAAAAAATGTAAAACTTTAAGCTCTCACACCCTAGGATTTTTCTAAATCGAAAAATTACCCATATTTTTTTGTTTTTCCAAACAAATCCCAGTGACTCAAGCAATATGTTTTTGGAGTTAAATTTCTATAAAAATATTGCCGAAGTTTTACCCAAAACCATATAATTGAAATCACAGTTTCAAACTTCATACAAAATTTAGGAAAGTTCAAGAAATTTTCATGAAAATTTTAACTTTTTAAGCTGAATCTTTAGAACATTTTTGGTATGCAATTATATAGTCCATATAATTTTAGTCTGATGATATGCAGGTTTCAACCAGCTGAAAAATTCTGTTGATTTTTAATAATTTTTACTCCCCAACTATTTATTTAACTACAAAGTGCAATGGGGAGACCCATAAAAAATAGTTAATATCTATGTATTAAAAAATTATTAAATATGCATTTTGGTATTACTCTCTCAAGTCCCCTGAAGACAAGCAGTGTTTGCCTATTGAAAAATATTGATTTTCAAGTATTCTATACCAGTTCTACGAAAAAGATTTTTTTTTCGCCATATAAAATATATGGAAAACTTCATGGCAAACCAGCTCTAAATTTCATTTAGGAAAAAATACGAGTACTTTCTTCGATTTAGAAAAATACTTTGAGGTGAGTGCTAAACATATAAAATTGTTTCCCATGTAATCTTGGACCACCCTAATCTACTACAAGCTGCTTATGTACATACAAGTAGATTTAAATAAATTCGACATTAGACCGTATCGCAAAAAAAAAAATTGTTTCAAGCTATTTATGTTGAACACTAACGAAGGCGAATTCATACAAGATGTAGCCATAACAGCTGAGATTTTCGTGCGGTGGTTCTGAATGTCAAAATGATGTGCTTGCTGTCATTAAAGTGTGCTTGCATTGTTCAACTTTGCGTTCAACTCAGCGCAGGGTTGCACGAAAAAAAAGTTGAATGGCTAAAAATATCAAAATATGAAAAAATATCAAAATATTCGCCATAAAAAGGTGTTTGCATTGTTCAACTTTGCATTCAACTTTTGGTTGAATGGCCTTTCAACTAATCGCTTTCAACAAAGTTGGTCGCCAGCCAACATTTAGCCATTCAACTTTTTTTTCGTGCAACCCTGCGTTGAGTTGAACACAATTGTTGAACGCAAAGTTGAATAATGCAAACACTGCTTTATGCATATTATTTGTTGCTGTAATTTTTGTTTTAGCTCTACCAATTCCATCTTGTGTGAATTCGCCTTGACACTGACTGTGGGAGGTTTTCAATAGTGTACATTTTTTTGCCTTGCCAATACAGAGTTACCGGAAAAGTCGTCCTAGATATTTAAGGACATTATTATGACAGATGTCCAAAACTTAACCGTTTTCGAGATATTTAGCCCAATGGTTCCGGCCTTTTGCGTCCAAATGGGACCCGTGTAACCCGTGTATACATTTTCTCTGCCAAAATGCTAATTTTACCCACTTTCAACTGGTTGCCAAGGGTTCTGTGGCGGGTTCAACGGGCCCAGTATGCCTTTTTACAAAGTTTGAACTGTGCTCTTTCTAGTGGGTTGGTTAGCAAGAGCCACGCCTCCTCCCCCTCCGCCAACTAACTCAAAAACAGTGGGCAAATAACTAAGCATTTCCCTCAACTTTTTTCGGCACATATGTACATCGCGACACGATCTAATAATACACACAAACATATGTTTACTTACATTTATGTAACCCTTACATATGTACCAAGAATAGTATTCACCGACCCCCACCCTGCTAGTATTCTCTAATAAGCAGCTCTATATAAAAACATGTGTACATATATTCTGTTGCTCGCACTCCAATTGGAACTTGTCCGTATTGCGTATTTGCGTCCACATGGAAGCGCAATGCGCTATGTTGTTGTGTAATCACAAGCTAGCGAAGCCACACGGCAAGTGTTCAATGTGCACGGATGGAAAATGGACAATATACATATGTACATACATATCGCATGAATAGACAGTAAAATTGTTTAGTAAGTTTTATTTTCAAAAGAAAATTAGATTTTCACTTACCACTAAAATAGAACGCCCTCTTTCTTAACTTTATCGTCAGATTTATTAAAACACATTAAAATTATGTACATATGTAGTTCTTTTCACTTTTTCTCTGTGCAAGTTTTTTGTTACACTAAAACGCTGCACAATTAAAAGTATATTTTGTCAATTATCTCACAATTGTGAATTTATTTTGCTGCATTTTTTCCATTACACTCACTTAGAAAATAGTTCGCTATCTTTTCCACGAGGTTCAGAAAATTTTTAATTTTGTCTATATTGCGTGCCGCTCTGCTACTGCTCGAGTATACATCTGATGACAACGACACGACGCGTTTTAGCTTTTTAGCGCCGAATGTCGGACTCGTGGAGGCAAACAAAACAAAAAGAACAATGTCAGAAACGGCAATTACCCAACGCTGCCGACGTTGCAGTGGGCAGCAAACGGCTGCATTGAAGACGATCAAAATACTAATGTATGTATGTAAGGTGTGATGTAAAATATAGTAAATAATTAACAGCGTAAAACAACAATGTTAAAATGAAGTTCCCTTTGGCATTACAATAATCAAATAGAACAGCAACACCGTACCATCTGCTGCGGCGGCGGCAGCGTCGTCGTCGTCGGCACCTGCTTTCTTGACATCGCCAGTTTTCTGTTTACTTTTTTACCGCAGTAGGAGAGCACGTCGATTTTTACTGGGAGCGTCGAACGTAAACAAATAAAAATAGCAACAAAAGTGAGAGAACGAAAAATGCCATAACAAAAGCGTTGAGGTGTGTTCAAAAGCATTTGTTTACGTCGGTGCAGTGGGCTGTTCAGTCAATGCCATTTCCGTCGTAATGCGAAGAAAACATGTGACTGCTGTGATGGAGGGATGCAGGGATGCACTGTATTTAGACATAGTTGAAACTTTATTTTAATCTAGAAGGTAAAGCTAAATATAATGGAAGTAACGGAACCAAGGGGAATTTATCCAAGGTGGTGTTGTCCAATCTGCTGATTTCTTCTACCTTTCTTCGTGTTACATGTATTTTGTTTTTGCTTTTACTGATTTGACACATGAACCAAAAATACAAGATACGTAAGAACGCGACGTTGTATTTGTAACTGGTTTTGAGAAAAAAGTTTGCGAAAGCGGGTTCGTCAGCTGAGCGTTTGTTTACATCACAAGCACCACTATTTTACACTTTTATTCAAGTAAAGAAGAGTTAATTCAACATGACAACACATTTTAAAGCATTTTGTTGCATCATTTTACCTAAATTGTGCGTTTAAAGTGGCTGACAATAATTTTGGCTAATTTGGTTTTCGTTAGCGTTCTTTGCTTTGTTTACTTTTCGCTCGTTTTCCAGTGAAACAGGATAAAAAAATCGACTTTTTTCACTCTCTTGTTCTTACGTGATCTTGTGTCTTTCGTTCATGGATTTGACAGCATGCTCAAGAATAGCAAAAACAAAATAAACAAAAATTTACATGTATTTTGTTTTTGCTTTGGCGGCATAAACTGTCAAAATCTGTAACAGTGTGTGTAGAAATTCAAACAAAATTTTTTAATTTGATATCGAAGCCGTGCGGCGAAACACATACACAAAATCAATCGGTCAATTATCTATTGTATTTGAAATGAATGCAAATGATCAAGGCGAATTTATACAAGGTGGTGTAGATGGCGAATTCATATTACAACAAACACATCAATTTGACATTAATAAGTACGTGGCGAAAATCTAAATTCGCCATCAACACCAGCAAGGCGAATTTATACAAGGTGGTGTTGATGGCGAATTAAATTTTTGCCGCGGTACTACTGAATGTCAAAATGACGTGTTTGTTGTAAACAAGGCGAATTCATTTTACAACAAACACATCATTTTGAAATTAAGAAGTACCGCGGCGAAAATCTAAATTCGCCATCAACACCAGTTTGTATAAATTCGCCTTGATTTTGACATTCAGTAACGCGGCGGAATTCTCATACCTTGGTTATAATGCACGGGGCGAATCGTAACTAATCGCGGCGAATTCGTAAGGATCTATTGATTTTAGATGCTTCCGTTTTACGTTACGTTCAAGGGCATTATAATCGTTCGAATTCATTGCCCATACAATAGATAATTAAGCGACAGTTCACTGCGTTCCGTTACTTCCATTATAATCCAGGCATAAATTCGCTAGTAACACCACCTTGTATAAATACGCCTCGACTCCCGCAATACAAAATACGAGAGCAAAAACGAAGTACTGCACTTCCGAAAGAATTTCGGTTGGGCACATTATTCGTGCTACATATCGCTACACTTGATCCTCAAAATATGCCACTTTCTTTTAGTATACTACGTAAAAGCTTAGACAGACGGCAGCGTGCAGTTAATTCACTGACCGAAACCGTCATTTGAAGCCACCGGTTTTTTCGCCATGCACAAGGTCTATTAGCTTTTCCTCTAGCAACTTCCCTTGAGAAAATAAAGCTAGTCAAATTATCAGTTGAACTAAAGTTGGCACCGACCAACTTTAAGTCATGAGTTGAAAGGCCATTTACATCAATAAACTATCGCAGACAGGCATTTTTTGTGAACCGAATGAATTATGCGAAGCGAACTAACAAGCAAAGAATGCATTAAGTGCTCCAGATGCAAGGAACTTGCACAAGGTGGTATATGCGAACACTCATTAATGCACTCTAATTAAAACCTAGCAGGTTCACAGAATTAGAAAATATGCTATAACTAATAATCTTGTAATTTTCCCACAAAATCAATTTGTGCTAAATTTATTTTCATTTCATTTTTTCAAATTAAAGTTAAAAATATTACAAAAGAGCTATGTTTACTCGGCATCCTCATCTTCGTCATCGTTGGAGCTGATTCTGAAGTATCGGAGTTCATACGAGTCCTTATCGTTAGACACGACACGGATCCAATCACGCAGACTGTTCTTCTTCAAGTAACGCTTGGTCAAGTACTTGAGGTAAGCCTTGGAGAAGTGCACGTCCGAGTTTACGTACAACTTCATCTTCAAACGCTCAAATGTTACATTGTTGCCAAGGTTGTTCACTTTGCCATTGACCTTTAGGCGGGCCTTAACGTACTTTTCCTGAAGATTACAAAGGCAAAATTAGAAAGTTTCCAATACAATAGAAAAAACCAAAATATTCAAAATTAGATTGTCTCTTGCAGTGTTAAGCCACAAAACCATGCGAGTCATTTTGCGACCAAAAATAGCAGAGTGTAAATGTTTACTTTGCCACTGAGTACACTGCCTTCAGAGCGACGGCCTCGAAGCTCACTCTCTGACGACAAATCGGACGTGGCACTCTCTAGACCAAAAACTCTTAAAGCAAATTTTTGTAAATTTAAACTACATATTTACCTTGATACACCTTGCGTGCAGTAGTGGGCGTGTTCGTTTGCCATTATTATACGCTGCTGCTACGATTTAGCCTCTTGCATCAGAAAACAATAGCGATCCGCTGAGAAGCCTGCAACGTACGAAAATTCGACACGCATACGCAAGGCGCACTATGGGTTTTGGCCTGTGCACATGCGGGTGCATGCACGACAGCCCGGGACCCACCACAGGGCGGTAGACATAGTACGACTTGGCACTGTTCACAGACGGTTGCACCACTGGCCAGACCAGGTTCTGGCGATCAGAGGCTACCCCGTTGTGCAGCACCCAGAGTCCCGTCTCGAACAGCAACCCCCAACTAAGTTGGGGCTATATGGATCTGACATAGGAGCGGTTCGTGCAGAACCTATTTGAGCAAAAAACTAAATAGTAACAGTAGGTCATCAGTGTATCCATAATTGTTAGGCCAATGGGACCGGCTACTTGCCGGATTCACAATGGCTTAATCCTTATGGAAGTCACTCTTACGATTAATAATTTCCCTGCGCACGAACGTACGCCCATACTTCTTAATATGCATTATAAAAGATTTTTTAGTACAAAGTCTATTTACCCCAATTGGAGCCACTTGCTCTGGACGTTCGCAATGTGTGTACTTACGAAATCGGCAACATCCATGATGTTATCCTCAGCAATATTGGTGCAGTCGATGCCAAAACGGATTGACACCTTCTTCTTTTTCAGCCCCTTGCCACGCAACACGTTCTTCTTGCCCACTTTACCAGAGGCAGTGGCAGCTGTTACTGATTTGCGTTGTGGCTTGGAGGCAGCCTTGGCAGCAGGCGCTTTAGGCTTTTCAGCTGGAGCAGCAGCAGGGGCAGCAGGCTTAGCTGGTTCGGCTTTCTTGGCGGGTGCAGCAGCTGCTGGCTTAGCAGCAGCAGGTGCAGCCTTCTTAGCATCCTTGGCAGGGGCAGCTTTAGCATCCTTCTTTGGCGCGGCAGCCGCTGGTGCAGACTTCTTGGCATCCTTGGCAGGTGCTGGCTTAGCAGCAGCTGGCTTGGCTGTGGCCTTCACTTCCTTGGCGGCTTCAGGAGCCTTCTTCACATTTTTGGCGGCTGCTGTTGCGGGCTTAGCTTCGGCTTTTGGCTTTTCAACTTTGCCTTTGGCTGCGGCAGCAGCGGCAGGTGCTGCCTTCTTTTCGGCCGGTTTGGCGGCGGATTTATCACCTTTGTTAGTTTTAGCCTGAGGACATTAATAAACAAAAATTATTACATGTGAAATGAAGGTATAATAGTAAACACTCAGAAAATGTACTAGTAACAGAATTTTTATCGTGCAATATTTTCGGCATCCGGTAAATTACTCTTCCAAACTTTTCATTAGTTGGTTGAAGAGCCTACTAACTACCCTATATTTTACTTATTTCACCTTTTTATTCGCGATTGTACTTAAATTCTAAGATTTTTAGGAGCACTTACAGTCGGTGCCATCTTCAACAGCAGGAACCACGGAGAAAAAGAACTGGAAGAGCTGTTGTCAAAACCAGCGTTGCCAACGTTGCTTTATGAAATTCCCTGTATATTTGACGTCCGAAATGATTTCCCACAGGGTCGCATAAGTATATGGATTTATTGGAACTGCAGAACTGCAGATAATTAATAGGTTTGTATAGTAACTTCTCCAGTAAACATTGCAGCGAGAGCGTAAAGGCAAAATAGAGCGTAAAATTGAGAAGCTAAAACTAGCAGAAAAAGCAAGAATGATAGAATACAAGATTGCGCCATTCGAACTGAGAGCAACTGGCCGTGACGTCAATAAATACCAGAATGAGCGAGCAAGACGAACTCGACAAGAAAAAGAGGAAGCATCGGACAAAAGGCAGTATTGCCAAGTTTTGAATTTGAAAAAGCACCAAATTTTTATTGGTGTATTTTATAGACTTTATATGCATACATAAGGATGTATGTAAGGATGCCGATTCAAATTAATAAAAACCAATGTTTCTTGCACGACGGTTGATTTCTTCTGGCATGATTGAAGGTGCCGTCACATATTTTGTTGTCGCTTATGATTGTCACTGTGCCATGATTTTGTTTAAATTTTTGTAAAGTTGCTTACCACACTTACGATTGCTATGAATTTTGCTTCCATTTTTTTTAAGATTTTCTAATTTGGTGTCTTCAAACTAAAAACAAAAGCACCAAAAACGCGCCAAGCACCAAACTCAAAAATTTTCGCGTTTTAAATACCCACTAAATTTGGTGCGAAAAGCATGAAGTTGGCAACAGGGAATGTAAACAAAAGTATTTTATGACGTCAGCGATTAGGTGGATGCTGTCAAATCGACGAAGAGAGGGTTAGCGGTCCGCGAATGGCGCGACCTTTATATTCTGGATCGTGCAGAAAAAGTTAATGAACACAAAACTAGCTAAAACTTGCAAGTGAATAGTTGTTGCACTTTCTTGACATTCTGCTGTAAACATTTTACTATTTATAAATCAGCTTTAAACTCTTTGCTTTACACACAAGTATCATGAATATGTTGATTTCCACTCATTTTACTTATATTTATGCTAAACCAATTCAACAAACGGCGGCTTTTGACATTTATTCTTCTTCTTCTTCTGCTAGCTAATTTCTGCTAGTAAAATTTTCACTAGCAAGGATTTGCAGCCCTCCCGTGTTGTTACGCTCTCGATTCAGTGCTCTCTTGCAAATATTTGGGTTATCATACACTTTTCCAGTAAAAATTTGCAGGTTCCAGTACAAATTAGTACTGACTATTAGTTATTTGGGGTATTCACAACGGTGTCGTAAGTGTCGTATTGTTGTGTGTCGTCAACTTTAAACGCAAAAAAAATATATATGGGAGTTCGCAAGGTACCATCAATGTCATATTGGCTGCATTTCTTTATTCATTCTGAACGTTTGGAATAAACTTTTTTGTTTATTTATTCTTCAGAACGTTCGTGATGATATGTTGGCGTATATTTCAAACGCATTCGGTTTATTCTGGCTGTGAAATGAGATTATCCGGAATGTATAAAGAAACGCAGCCATTATGAATTTTGGCAGTGCTAAAAAATAGTTGGTTGTTGTTTCAGGTTTTCTAAACATTTATTTAAGCTTTTAAAGTTTAGAGAGCAATGTCAAATTCAATCACTCTTTGTTGAATACATTTTGGTCGTGTTCTTTTCTCAGCAGGTTGCGCTCTGATCCGACGAAAGTGCTGCCTTTTCTGCCCTCAAATACGTGAGGGTGAGAGTTGCATGGTTGATTTTTAATTTAATCTTGTAAAAATGCAATTATTTTCCATATCAGAAATAAGTGTTTTGCTTTAAAACTGTTCAAGACTTACAGGCCAAGTGAATAATTCAGCTTTATTAAGTTCTATAAATAAATTTTGATGGAGTGGTATATTTTCTGTTTCATTCTCATATAAAGAACGCAACATTTTTCAGATTTCAGGGCAACGCAAAGCAAGAGTTCCCATATAAAAGGGCAGAACTTTTGTTGAAAAAAGAAAACACTATAAGTTTCGAAAAAAAATACTTGTACAAATAAAATAGGTGGGCCATCATATCACCAAGGTGGCAGCATAGTGACATTGGGAATTTTAGCTTATCGGCAAACAGCTGTTTTAAGATACAACAAAAATGTAAATAAAAAAATTTATTTTCTCATGCACAAATGACAAATTCCGTTGGCAAAGGATGGGCTTCTGGCCTAATATCGACGATAAAAGATCCTAAAAACCACATTATCTCCTCTAAGGACGCTGTAGTGATACATGACAAATACCCAAAGGCGCGCCATCATTACCTCGTACTGCCCAAAGCAGATATACCGGATATATTCCATGTAAGCTCACCTAAAACAAAAATCTCTAGCTAGTTGGTTTTCAGTTAAGTTTCAGTTAAATCTTAGCCATTTACCTCTATTGGAAGAGCTGCACTTGCTCGCACAAAATGTTATTGAAGTGAAAAGCTTTCAGCTGGACGATTTTAAGATCGGTTTTCACGCGCAGCCCAGCATGCAACGATTACACTTGCATGTAATTTCCAAGGATTTCGTATCCGACTGTCTCAAAACAAAGAAACACTGGGTTAGTTTTAATACAGAACTCTTTCTACAATATCAAGGTGAGTGAAGACACAAACTTCAATATTTGGAATATTTGGAAACTAATCCCATGTTTAGAAGCCTATGCGCGGCTAAAAACAGATGCTTGTATCAAACGTTTGACGAAGGAACAAATTCAAGAGTTGACTGCCTCAGCGCTGGAATGCAATCAATGCGAGTTTGAAGCCAAAAATATGCCAGACCTGAAGCGACACCTGCTTGAGCATTGGGCACAGAGACAGTGAGATACATTTTTGCCATGACGTGTTAACGCTTCTGCATTGATTTAGTCTAGAGTTCCCAGATTTTTTATGCGCGGAACCTGTAGCTCACATTACGTTCCAATTGGCCCCATTTCACTTGTTTAATAAACAAGTAATTTTTAGGCGAAAAACACAACCGACTTCAATTCTCTTGTATAAATTTAGGAGTACCGTTTTCTCATGGTCCAATGATCGGATCTAAACCAAATTAGTACGAGAACACCTGTGAGACACTACCTTTCCGACAGAAAGAAAATATCGAAATCGTCGACGTGGTCCAAAGTTATGCGGAAAAATACATAAATAAAAATAAAAATAAAATATTCGTACGAAAATTTCGAAAATATTCGTTCTTTTTTTGAAGTCGGTTAAAAAGAGCTTTTCGTAAAGCAATCGTCCACATTGAACGTTTGAAAATAATTTAACTCGTCAATTTGAAAATGGTATTATTCTATTCGAACGCCTAACTGTAGGTCCATTGAATATCATAAAATTCAAGGCGCATCCATATATGTATGTATATACCTTTTTTATACCAACACATAAAGCGCTTGGACCCAGTTCGCTGTGATTCAAAACGGAAGCATAAACCAACTTTCAATACGCTCAGAAATTCAAAAGTGTTATGACTCGAATTTGTTTTCAAATCGTTTTTTTATTTCTCACAGGTTAGAAAACAGCAAGGCACATTAAACAGGTAGTATCAGTAGAGCAAAAACAACATTTGCGTGTATTTTGTTGTTGCTTCTGGTATCGAAAGTGTCAAAAACTGTTCTGAATTTTTTCTTCCAAATCAAAGCGTGCCATGTGAAATACAAAAAATTATAAAAAATAAAAAATTGAAATTGGAAAAAATAAAAATTGATGCAACTTTCTTTCCTAGTAAATTTGTTTGCTTCTCGAAGCATTGATCCATCCTTTACAAGGGCCAGTAATCAGCGGTTGTGCTGCTGAGTTGGGCGAACGTTCTAAAAGCTGCTATTCAATCGCTTGTTTTGTATGGAAAAAGGTTTCACATGCAAATGGATTTTAAAAATTCAGAATTTTTGTGAGAAAAAATTAAAAATATTTGACATTTTCGAGACCAAATAATTTGAAAATAAATCAAATCAGCTGCTCTACTGATACTACCTGTTCAATGTACCTTGGAAAACAGATATAAACACATCACTTATTTGACGCGAAGTGAAAAAAGGCTGGTGTTCTTTATACAGCCCGTTTTAAATTTGAATTATTATTACAAGGAATTTGAATTGTTCGCTTTATACATGTTTTGAATCGCGGCGAAATGAATTAAAGCGACTTATGCATGCGTATAAACGTAGTATAAAATAAATAATAAGTAGTAGTATAAAATAAAATATGTATGTATACCCATGAACCAAAAAGACAAGATCACGCGGGCAGGAGAGTAGCCCGTTAGAATCGCATTAAGGAAAAAAGTTGAACGATTTTGACATTAGCCGTTTGTTTACATTTCTTCGTTGTTTGCAATTTGGTGTTGGCTTTTTACTGCAATTTTCTTCATTTTCGCTTGTGACAACGTGTGTACACACAAGATAAAGAATAATTTAACACAACGGCATGATTTTTAGAAGAATTTGCATAATAAAAATGATTTTTCATGCGTTCAACAATTTCGCGGTTTTCTCCGTTCTCTTCGTTGTTTACTTCTTACAACAAAGATGGCGTCGAGATTTCGGCAGCTAGAAAATAACCATGATTCAATAATACAAGGTTAGATAATTATTGACAGCTGCGGTTTGACACTCCCTTACAAAAGGTTGCATTTACGAAGGAAGGAGAAAGGGGAAGAATGAAATCTCTTGGTGCGAAAATGGTACTAGAAAAGTACGCACAGTAGGCAATTAGTAGTGAAATTCCTTTTGTAAATTCTAATGTATTTGCAGGAAATCTGGCATTTTAAACGAAATGTTGAGCGTAATATTGATATATCTACGTGAATTACGTAATTTATGTGCTATTTGGCTGTATAAAAATTGCAAAATGACTCAAAATTAAAATAAGACTACTATGAGATTGAAGTAAACATCCAATTTAAAAACAGTTTATGTTTTCATCAGTTAATATGCTTCATATGCATATACAAATAAACATCTTGCACAAAAGCTTGTACTTTATTTCACACCAAAGCTACACTGTTTCCATGTAAATTTGCAAAGAAGCAACACGGTGCCTCTGCTAAGGGAGCGGTGCGAGAGAGACAACTGTCAGTTTATCGAACCTTGTATTATTGAATCATGGAAAATAACTTTTTTCGTTCTTTCCTTCCCGCGTGATCTCGTGTCTTTCGTTCATGATGTATACCATTTTACCCGATTCCCCGAAACGAGACAAATTCCTCACATTTCGAGGAATTCCCCGCAAGTTGACATCGCTCATGATTCAATAATACAAGGTTAGATAATTATTGACAGCTGCGGTTTGACACTCCCTTACAAAAGGTTGCATTTGCGAAGGACAGAGAAAGGGCAAGAATGCAATCCCTTGTTGCGAAAATGGTAGTAGAAAAGTACGCAAAGTAGGCAATTAGTAGTGAAATTCCTTTTGTAAATTCTTAAGTATTTGCAGGAAATCTGGCATTTTAAACGAAATGTTGAACGTAATATTTATAAATCTACGTGAATTACGTAATTTATATGCTATTTAGCTGTATAAAAACTGCAAAATGACTCAAAATTAAAATAAGACTACTATGAGATTGATATAAACATCCAATGCTTATGTTTTCATCAGTTAAATATGCTTCATATGCATATACAAATAAACATATTGCACAAAAGCTTATACTTTTATTTCACACCAAAGCTACACTGTTTCCAGGTAAATTTGCAAAGAAGCAACACGGTGCCACCGCTAAGGGAGCGGTGCGAGAGAGACAACTGTCAATTTATCGAACCTTGTATTATTGAATCATGACATCGCTGAGGCGTTCAGCAATAGGTGAATTGTGTAGCTGAAAGCCTGAAAAGCTTGTTGTGGAGTTGTACTCTAACGATATAAAAGAAAAAAAAATGACAAATTCCGTTGGCAACGAATGGGCTGCCGCCCTAATAACGGAAATAAAGGATCCCAAAAACTACATTATCTCATCCGAGAACGCTGTAGTGATATATGACAAATACCCAAAGGCGCGCCATCATTACCTCGTACTGCCCAAAGCAGTTATACCGGATGTATTCCATGTAAGTTTACGTGAAATAAAAATTTCGAAGTAATTTATTTTGAGTTAATTTTCAGTTAAATCTGGGCCATTTATCCTTACTGGAAGAGATGCATTTCCTCGCACAAAATGTTATCGAAGTGAAAAGCTTTCAGCTGGACGATTTTAAGATCGGTTTTCACGCGCAGCCCAGCATGCAACGATTACATTTGCATGTAATTTCCAAGGATTTCGTATCCGACTGTCTCAAAAAAAAGAGACACTGGGTTAATTTTAATACTGAAATCTTTCTACAATATCAAGGTGAGTGAAAACACAAACATATGTATGTATGTCCATATTTGGAAACTAATCCTCTGTTTAGAAGTCTCTAAAAACAGATGCTTGTATTAAACGTTTCACAAAGGAAAAGATTGAAGAGTTGACTGCCTCCACGCTTCAATGCAATCAATGCGAATTTGGAGCCAAAAAATTACCAGACCTGAAGCGTCACCTGCTCGAGCATTGGGCACAGAGGCAGTCAGATAAATTTTTGTTTTGATGGGATAACTCTTCTGTAATGATTGGATCAAAATAACCCAATTTTCAAGAAAAAATGCTTTGGATATCCAGTTAAGTAATTTTAATCAAGTTTTGTCTTAATTTATTCGATAAAATCATCAACCATACCCATTTCTAAATCAAACCCGATTGATTGTCATTAGAACAGAAATCAACACAACATGGAACTCTCATATACCTATCTGAGAAACATACTATGTACCAAGTGGAAAATATTTAGGGCTATCACTGAATCCGAATAGCTACGAATTTAGCATATGTTCACGAAAATCGGACTACGGTGGATTCTGTGATAGCGCAGATTAAAATACGTCTCTAGCTGCAACCAAAAAGGAATATAAATACACAGCGGGGCTGTTCAGGATGTTGTGGAAATGGTCTTGGATTTGGAGTTGGAATTGCATTTGCAAATTTTATGCTTGCTGTCATGGCAACCGTGTGCATTTTATTGTTGTTAATTTACAAATGCACCGAATATGCAAATGCAAGGACAAACTCCGCAACATCCCGAACAACCCTAGTGTATTTATTTAAAATTTTAAAATTTACATAAATATATTCGGAATTCATTAATTAATTAAACAATTATCTACTGAAGTTGAATGGAGTTCCACCTTAGAACATATTAATTTCTATTATTGGGTCGAATGTGCTGTTGTTGCAATAAATTCTAAAATACCCAACTTATTTTTGTTTAAATACTTAACATATTTATTATTAATTGTACAGAAATTAATATATTTCATCTTTACTTAATACAACGGCATTTTACACGCGAATACATTCATTACGGCTGCTCAAAACGCATCAATGCAAAGCATTAGTCTCTTTTACTTCTACTCGTTATGTTTTGGAAATAAAAGATACTGATGTTTTGTATCAATACATTTTAGTAAACGGCCACTACATCATCAACGGCTAATGGACTTGTGGAAGTGGAAACGGTAATGTTGAATAGACTTAAGCTTTAGACATTTAGTGCACACAAAGCAACAAAGAAAATATGAAAGAAAAAAATTGTTAAAAACTCAAGAGTGAAAATGAATTTGAAAGCAAATTCGCTGACGCATAACACCAAAATAGCCCGTTTAGTCGTTGGCTCATTATTGCTAATATTTCTTTTTTTGCATTCTCCTTCGAGTTACTTTCCGCACATATAATCCATTTAACCAGACAAATCACCATGATCGAACAGCGACTGATCATAAAGCTCAGCGATAACACGTCGTCCACCAAAGAAGCGTCCATGCAAGACATCACGTCCACGCATAGCCTCTACTGAGCTTGAAAATTCTACGAATATTTTAACAATAATCTCTGCTTCCTCATCGTCCTCGTTTTCAGTTTGTTTTTCATTGAAGATTATTACACGACTAACTGTACCGAATTTAGTGCACTCCTCTTGAATTTCCTCTTGCAACGTTTCGTCAACATCCTCTGGTCCGACCATGTTGCGCAGTATAATAACACGCGACTCCTGTGGTCGCATCAGCCGCTGCATGACCAGTTGCCGCGCACTCTGTCCCTTGATCGACATATTCTCCTGCTGCTGCAGCGTCTGCGTCTCGCCTTCTTCCATCAATTTCTTTTGCAATTCCTCCTGCTGTGCCTTCTCGTGCGCCTTCTTCAGCTGCTCCGAGTTAGCCGACTGCAGATTGTGTAATGCTGTTACATTGTTTGCTGCGGCCACTGCGGCTGCGGCATTTGCACTGACAGAGGCGGCAGCTGCAGCCGCTGCGTTTGCGGCGGCATCGGCGCCCATTACCGTATTAATACCGCCCGCACCAAGATTACCAATCGCAGCCATTGTAGGAGCGCCCATAGTTGGTGTTGCTAGAAGTGCAGCTTGTGTAACAACCACCGGTGCGGCAGCGGCAGTTACATTCGGCAAGCCGGGTGCAACACCTAATAGATTCGGTGCTAAGGCTGCTGGCGCTTGGAAGACACCAGCAGGAAGGAATGCGGCGGCGCCGCCTGTAGTGGCAGGCACTGCAATGCCCGGCGGATGCAATGCGCCAGCGGCAGCGATCGGCAATGTGCCCACCTTAGCTGCGGCAGCTAGTGGTGAGATGCCCAGAGTGGGAGTAGTTGCAGAAAGGCCAAGCACGGCGTTGCTGGCGACTGCGTCAAGTGCTTGTATCTTAGCGGTAGCAGCAGCGGCGGCAACAGCGGCAGCTGTGGGCATTGTAGAGTTGGTAGAGGCGCAAACCAATGCATTCGGAGGAGTAATTGAACGGCCCACTCTAAGGAAGAAAAGAATTAGTAATACAAAAATATAATCCATGGACGTTTATAGCTATACGCACCTCAATAACTGTCCGCCTAAATCGAACAAGTTCATGCTAGCGATAGCTTCATCCATGGCCTGCTTGTTGGCGTACTCAATGAAACCATATCCCTTGTGTGTATGCAGTGATGTGCCCTGTGCCAATTTGCAATACAAAATCGGCCCAAATGCCTCGAAAACGCTCTTGATGTCCTCTTCGGATAGATCCGGATGAATGGAGGCAACATAAATGCGATTGAAGCTTTTGGCTTCCTCCTGAATCTCATCAATCACCTGCTGTGCCTGTGGCATGTTGCTAGGGCGACCAACCTTAATGTTACGACCACCCATCAATGCTCCATTCATTTGTTCCAAAGCCAATTGTGCTCCCTCTGGTATTTCGTATTCGACAAATGCGAATCCTTTGTGCTTCTGAGTAATAGGATCCCAAGACATGTTTATTGACTTGATGGGACCAAAAGGTAGAAAAGCGGCGCGTATAGTATCCTCTTTGAGCTCAAATGAGATACTGCCTACATAAACCCTACAGTAAAGGAAAATCGAGTTACTAAAGCTGTAAAAAATCATAGTATTTACACTTTATCTCCAAATAAACTCAGATCTTATCAGCTATTTACGGTAGGCACATATCGTACTTTTCATGCCACTGACGCTCATTAACTCGAGATAGTTGTCACGACATTGAAGCAACCATTTCACCGAAGCTAATGCTTTTACCAGGTTTAACATCAATGTTTTAGTAAATAAGTAGCTATTAAGTGAAAGTTTTTCCTCTAACTTACCTGCACATGAGCGCGAGTGCCTGCTGCCGTTGAACCTGAGTTCGTTGCGATGCCAATTGCTGTAAGGTAATTTGTTTTTATTATTTTATGGCCATTTTCAACTTGTATTACATCTACCTGTTGCTGATGTGCCAAAGTCTGTTTCATTAATACCATTTTAATACTCTGCTCCATGGCATATTTCTTAGCCTTGCTGACCGTATCATGTTGATCCGAGGTAAGTTTTGGTAAAGCGCCACCTAATAGACCCAGCAGTGCAGAACGTGTACCCGGACCGAATTTTACATCGCCCGTTTGTTTCAGATCGTAAATTGGCTGCGAAATGTATGGAATTTTCGGTTCCGAGGACTTGCCTAGAATTAGGAATATTAATTAATGGCGAAGAAATTAATGTAGCCAACAAAACGTTTGTTGGTGAGTAGAGCAACAGCAGTGTGTTGTTCCTGTTGTTGAAAGGATTTTGTGAGGGGTGAAAGCTCGCAGTACACATTTCGTTTTTTTCTTTGTGGACGGAAAATCACAAGAGTCAAATCGATGGTATATATTTTTATACTAGTGACGTATGGGTGTCAATAAGTGAGCGTAACGGTTATGGCGCCTGAAAAACTGGCAGTGAGCGTATAGCTATCTAACTTTTGAAATAAATAATTTCTAACTTTTAAGCTGTCATTAGAACAGCTGGTCTGAGATTTTGATTTCTAAGAAATTAAATTGATTAACACTAATAATGAGGGAACGGATTTTTAGGACCTAAAAACATATAAAAAAGGCAAAATAAAATAAAGAAACAGGCTAGAAAAGGGGAAATAAAATAGCGAAATAATCAGGAAGACACTTCAAATCGCAAAAAGGCAAAATAAAGATTAGATAATGATTGGAGAACTAGCCACATTCTCCAATCTCAAATGTTAGAGAACGACTCGAAGAGCTATCAAGAATCATAGCGATCTCAACAAAAATGGGACATAGATAAGAAGATAATTTAGGTAGGCCTTCTTAAGTAAAGCCATTCTGAGGCCTACCCAAGAAGGGCTGAAAAAAGTGCTTCCTTGCCTGCCACTTATAATTTACAAATGAATTTCAATAAACATTTTAAGTTGCAATAACACATATTTGATATCAACCTTAAGCAAATATTTCAAAGATGTATGATTTTTTATAAATTAAAGCAACTATAAAAGAACTCCTCCAAAAAACCTTCTGAAGTACTTCCTATAAAGGTCCCTCTGGAATTTCTTCCATGGGTAGCGAAAGAAGCCCTTCAATTTGTGCCACTCGATACAAAAAAGAAAGGAGAAAGCAATGTAGAGTGGAAGTCCTCTAGACTCTCAGGAAGGCCTTTCGGAAGGGCTTTTAACTCCTGAAATTATCTACTGGGTCTCGACTCGAGAAAATATTAATTCTCTAATCGAATTCTAATGTTGATCTCTAATGAGATTCGAATGTGAATTTCAAACTGCTGTTTTGCTTTATTAAATAAATCGTTTTGTTTTTAAAATTTGTATTAAATGTATTTGCAATAAAATATTCATTCATTCATTTGGAATATTGCTTATTTACATTTATTTGAATTTGCGTTGTTTCTCTAATTGTTCTCGAATCAAATTCTAATGTAGTTCTCTAACTCCGTCGACTCGAGAACGATTAGAGAATTATCCTAGTTATCTAATGTAGAAATCCAAATTTCTCTACACTAGAGACTGTGTTTGCTGGGATTGAACCACAAGATGCAATTTGGAGTTTTCTGGCAGCATTTTCATTCTACTTTCACGAATAAAAGCCTTGAATATACAAAACGTGCGCTCGACGTGAATTGATACAAGTTGCGCCCAAAATAAATATGGAACATTTGAAACTTTCATATTATCAGGAATAAGGGCTTTTTCCATGTGCCTTACAATTAAAGGTAGAAAAGGCAGAAATGGCAAATATCTTAAAAAAGGCAACATCAAATGTGTATATATGGAATCAGGGACAGATAATCGTGGACATTTTTAATCGAATATACTCTATCTCTTTACAAGAAAAAAGGCAATTTCCATAAAATCCGTTCCCTGCTAATAATCATCCGTTATAAATATACGTGGGGTATCTGTATTACAAATCCGATTTTTTCTTCCATTGAATGAAATAAAATTTATTGATAGCTGTACTAAAAAAAATGTGCATTACATATTAGATAAACCTAAAATAAAATGTTCAAATCTGTTTTTCAAAACTTTAGGTATGTACATACATATATAATACTTGGGATCTTTTGCAATATTCAAACCTTATACAAGCTACCATTGGTAATTTTTAAAAATTATTTGGTGCTCTATATTTTTGTTGGGTGTTTAGCATTTTCTCTGACTTGCTGGGTGCGTCATGTTGTTTTCACGCAAATAGATTCTTTTGTATCTTCTTTTGTATCCTTTCAACAAAAAATATTTGCTATTTGATATGTAGCGCCGACACAGGCTTCACAGGGTCGTCTTCTTCTTGATTGGCCTTTTTCTTTTCTTGCCGAGTCCATATAGATGTTGTTGTTGTTGTAGCAGCATACAAATTCCCCAAAGACTTTTTGGGGAGTGTTGCTGGAGTGACAGTCCTTGGCCAGATATAAATCTGGGTCGTTCCGGTTACGTAGACCCGACTGTCGTGGGAACGAGTCCATATAGATCTCGCTAGCTGCCGGCAATTAGAAACACCGGATGAGGCTTGATAGATAGATATTACAATTAGGTATGCACCGCGACCTAGTGGGGTATTATGCCCTCTCCTCTTCCCGATACTTCTAAGCCTACATCCCTCAAGAACAGCAACAGCGCCTTCGTGGGTAGAAAGTTAATGTGTTCAAGCTGTGACCGCGAATGAAGTTAAGTCCCTCTCCACCTTATCTATCTAATGCACCTCTAATAGTATACAAATTCTACGAGATTAAATCTAAAACTAACTTAAAATATTTACGTCAAGTATCCAAAGTTAACCTACATTTAGCTACCCGTTTCGAAACGACTACCTCTTATGAATGTAAAACATCTGAATATCATAAATAGCCTACGTGACGCATTATACTCACTTATTGACGGACCCTCTTTTACTTAAATATTTTTATTTTTGTTGGAATTGAATGGGTAAAAAAGAGAATTCGACGCCTGCAAGAAAGATAAAGACAAAAAGAAAAAACATTAATAAACAACACGTTCTCACTCTTCCTAAGCGAAAATGATCTTGTAAATGCGCGTGCGCGCACACATTCATCTGCTTTACCGAGAGTTATGCGTTCGTTGAGTGCGGTTTTATGTTTCACTTTCGTTGCAACATTCGTAACAATCTATCAGGTTTTGGTTGTTGCTAATATCATGGCGAAAAAATCATTGTGGATATTTCAAAATAGGCCAACGCCACCATACCGCACGCCAACAGGTGGCATTACTTAATTTGTTTTTCTACTTTTAGCATTTGAGCCAAAATATTTTCTTTTTTTTTTGTATTCTCAAGCAATTCATACTAATGTTGTCAGTTTTTCATTATTATGTTGTTGATCGCAGCAAAGTAGTAGAACTTACAATTATCACTCTAGTGTAGCGGTAGCAGAATTTCATTTGGTTTTTAACGTGCATACTTTTTTATACTTTATGTGGCGCGCATTAATCAACTGTTTAATTTGGCGACTTAATACATTTCGTTCGTATGTTTGTATGTGATTTTTGGTTTATTTTTTGAGAAAAGCTGCAAAATGTAAGAATGAAAGAAAAAAGCACCCAAACATTAAAAAAATTAAAATAAAATACGTAGTCTGTATAAATCCAAAATACATGAACAAACTGAGTTTTTTTGTATTAACACTATATGAAACATGTATGTAATAAGAAAGACACACGGAAAAGGGATTTACGCACAAATTAACTGGCTACGACGGAGTAGAGCTTAGGCATGGACTTGCGTATATACGATGATGTACGTACATGTAGGTAGTAGACAACTGTCATGAAACAAAAAGCTGATGAAATTCAACTTTACAAACAATACATATGTAAGTAGTATGTACATATATGTATATAAAATAATGCACAAGCAATGTAACCAAGTGTGCGCATGCCACAGCCATGGAATCGAACGGACAAACGGACTTATCTTAAAAATAATTAGCAGTGAATACGAAGCTTTTTCAAAGTTTATGCCTTCGAGAGTTATTATACACACTTTCGTAAATATACAATATTTTGTAATCATAACTAATAAACTTGTATTTTATATTTTGCTTTTAATGCAGTACTAACTTTTAGTATGAAACACGCGTAAATCCCCTTTCAGCGATCCATATAGTTAACTAGTACAGAAATATAGATATAGAATTAATGAAGCGACCTTATTTCATCTCAAAAATCTCTTTGCCCTCTCCAACATTTGATGATGTTAGCGCAATTGGCTTTAAACGTTTTTATTGGACACATTTTTACATTGTCACTGTGAGAAGTGGGTGAGTGTGGATTTGAATCACTTCAGGGACACATTTAATAAAAGAGAAAAAATAAAAAAGAAATAAAATCCGCTGAAAAGATAATAAGAGAGCAACAGTGAAAAAAATTAAGGAATTTCGAGATATTTTTGTTTTTTTTTTTCATATACTATATGCATAATGTTTCATAATCAAATTCAGTATTTAGCTGTTAATGGAAGATCGTTCACGGTTCTGCCGATTGAGAATGTTTTAGTTTAAAAAGGCACAAACCAACCAAATGCAAAACTGGAGAAATGTAGAAAATGGGAAAATTTTCATATGCAAGCTTTTACTTGTATTGAAAATAAGGAAAATGCGCTGGAATTAACAGTCTTTTCAAATGATCCGAAGAAACCTTTTATTGCATTCAACAAAAAAAAAAACAACTAGCTACTATACTCTCAAAGTATAAGTTTGGAAAGTCTTTGGCCAAGGAAATCATTAAAGTATTCACAGTCAATAATGTGGAACAAAGCACAGTGCTTCTAATTTAATTAATGAATAGCTATCAAATTTAGTTTATACCTTGTTTTATCATTGGCAAGTCTTAAGGTTTTTTATTCAAAAATAAATTGTTTAGTGTTAAGTTCTAGGAGATTATTTCCTGGGTATTGTTTTTCTACTTCCCCTTATGTTAGTAAACAAAACTACGAATTCTTCAAAAACTAGACTAACTTTTGTCGAAGTGATGCTGTAAGACCTTTGTGTTTTGATGAAATATGTTTTAAAATTTGTTGCAAATATCCCTTTTCATCCTATTAGTTTCATTGTCTATCGGTAGATTTTATACTTTCTTAAATAAAGGATAACGTTTACGGACTTGAATATCCCGTAAGAATGTGTAAATAAAAAGTGCTTAGCTCCAAAGATACATATTTTCTGTGTAGATGCTTTGACGCGTTTAAATTTTGAAGCTTTTTTCAGTGCGTGGAGAAGATTAATCATTTATCATGCTGTTTGCAGTTGGTAGGCGAATGGCACCGGTTCAATACGGAATCAGAGGCAGAGAAATTTAACTAAAAAAAAAATACTTACAAAAAAGAAATAAAAAGAAAAGAGAGAAGAAGAGAGAATCAATATGCGTTATTAGTTCCATAACATCAGCAGCATTGCAAAAAACATACATCAAGCGAAGAGCTAGAAACGCGGCGGCGCCACACAAGTCAACACCACCAACCCGCTAGTCTAACTTGATGACCACTTTTGTAAATAATATAATTTAACCGTGTGTATTGAGCCCCTGCAGCGTTTAAGGTTTAATGTGTTCAAATTTTTACCATGAACATTTAATCGGCTGTTCAATTCATTAATAATTTTTTTATTTTCTATGGCCCCATTTCCAGCTGTAGATTTTTGTTTGATCATATTGGTATGGTATTATTTTACTAAAGTGATACAGCAGACCAATAATTCATTTTTTTAACCAATTTCGTGACACGATATTCTTTTCATCTTATTTTGCCTTCGCATTATTTCGTTTTTAGGTTAACTCGAAATATTTCGAGTAGTTTGTTTTAATGGCTGCTCCCCATTCTTTGCTACTCTAGCGTATTTTCTACACAGTTTTTTGTTTGATTTCAACTCTTGCAATGTTTTTCTTTTTGTTTCATTAGGCGTTAGCTTACACGGCGAGCAGAGGAAGTAGTGCAAATCTCACCTGACCCTGACATCATCACATGCGTTAAAGGTCTGCAATTACTTAAGCAGAACAGAAAAGAACAAAACCGATTATTTAGTTAAATTCAGTTGATGGCTGGAAAAGAGGATGTGTAAGTATGTATGCATGTAACTGTGATAAAAATCGATTTTCTTAACAGAAAGCACTTAAATTCAGCCAGTTTACTTTAGGACGAAGTTGTGACTGCATGTATTTGCATGTTTACATATAACTTTTTTTTTACCTAACAATTTTACTCCATTCAGAAAACGCTGCTAATTAACTAAAATTACTTAATATTCAATACAATAACACAAGCATGTAAATACTGGACATTTTTGTTACAAAAAACTAGCAAACCGCAACATACAAAACCCTCGTGGCAAACGTACACACATTGGTATTTATTTTAAAATTTTGCTGTTTCCATTCATTTATGGCTTTTAAATTTTACTTTAAAAGATAATATACTAGGTATTTATTTTAAATGATTTACTGCACTTACCCGACTCCGAGCGAGATCTCTTTGATGGCACCATTCCGTCATTTAATGGATCATCCGAACGTGATTCTGACGACCGCGATTCTCGTTCATTGGAACCCTAGCAATCGGTAAGGAAAAATATTAGCTAAGCAAACATGTAAATTGTATTAAGAGAATAATAATACACTCAAAGGATACACCTAAAAAAAGTTGCAGCAATAAAGTTTCCAAATGTATACATAAAATTGCACGCAATAGTGTGTGTATTCTTAGCAAAATGAAAAACTCAAGGTTAAAGACGCAATTCATTCATTGTTGGACAGGTGAGGGACAAGACGTAGCAAAACCAACACCCGGTAGATTTGCATTGGAGCAAACGCGAATCAACCTCTGCGGCAGCAATTGTTTGCTACGTTCAGGCTCAAGTTTTAGTATACACACTAAAATTTACCCTCCGACCATGCAAATATATGAATAGATTGACCGCTTGAAAACTATCTTAAAAACACATTTCCCAAAAAATTATAACTTTTTGTGCATTATTTTAGATAAAATCTTTAAAATTTCGCACTTTTATGCTGCAAATTAATTCGCTAGAAATTCCACGCGATTTTTTTCGGCTGCCATTACGACGCGATCAGCGGCAGAACAATCGCCAACTCCAAACGAGTAAACTTACCATATTTCAACTGAAAATATTAAAATTTCAACTGCGTAACTCCTGCAGTGCTATATTTACTTCAATTTGATGTGGTTTACAGATTTGTTTTTTAAGATATTTTCAATAAAATTCGTGCAAATTTTCACGGATTGCAGAAACGCGTCAGGTCACAGCGAAATTTTCCTCCATAAATAAATTTCCCCGATGACAACGAGTACAAATGAGCTGCCGTATCGAGAAAAATGGAACCGTAAAATTAAAAATACTGGGCTTCTAAAAAACCAAGGTTTTTGTGAGGAAAAAATTTAGATCCCATCTTCGAAAAAAATCAAAGAATTAATTACTGGGCGATATTTCCGTAACAGGATTAGAAAATACGCCAATACTTCGAAAAAAAAGAGTTTGCATAAAATAGGTCTTTTATTAAAACACTCGTTATAATTGTGCATACTGACTAGTTAATTTTCCAGTTTTCTAAAGAATTAGTTTTAACGTTAAATGTTCACATAATGTATGTAGGTTCAAGCTAAGAGTATCTTTAGACTGGATAAAATATTTGAGTCTGCAGATACAAGCAATATAATTCGACTAAAACAAGTACTAAATTCGTTAACTACAAAAATTTGAGTATTCCGATTTGAATATCAATTGAAAAATAAATCTTTGGGTGTGATAACAGTGTTTTGGCTTCTTCCATGCTACTGCTTTCCAACTATTTACTTCTTGGAAAAGTTTCTGTGCACATCAGATTTTATGTTGTAGACTAGATCTAAAAGATCGTTAATCAATAAATCTTTACGAGTTTCTACTGCAGTTTTTATTTCTTCCATTTTATCCCGCGTATCAGCATCAATTTTCAAAGCAACTCCCTCTCTTGATCCCATGTACTATAGAAAATTTAAAATACAAATTTACTTTCGTTGCTAAATTAACATTTCCTACAGGGATCTTACCTTAGCTTCATATTCCTTCAGTAAACGTTCACGTTCGGCGCGGTATTTCTCGATCTCCTCTACTGCCTCGTCTTTAGCTTGCTTCAAACGCTTTGCTTTACCTAGTCGTGTTGAGAATTATAAATATTTTCTAATTATGACCTCAAATGCTTAATAGGCACATCCGCTGGCTTCGGCAACGAGGCAGCCGTAACAATGATGTTGGAATACTTACGTTTCCTAGCTTCCGAAACCTTTTCTGCTGCCTTTTTCTCAGCAGAGAGAAGCTGCTGAATCCCTGTGGATTGGCTTGTCATTTCACTGTGAAATTACCTAGGAATCAGATAAATTTCAAGAAAATGTATCACGAAAATTGCCACAATGAAAATAAATATTGGTTAGTTGACAGCTGATTACTGGGCTGAACTGCGGGTTGAGTGTGGCAGCATTGATCGAGAACAGAGTTGCTTTTTACAGAGATCTATTCTCCGATCATTACGAGAATTTAACACACGAATGTTGAAAAAAATAAATATTCTTATATATACATTCGCCTATATCAATTACGTATTTTTATGCATTGCTTTGAATAGTACAATTGAAAATAAAAATTATATTTTATTTGAAACTATAATGCAACCGTGGAGCTTACACTGCATTTTTGCAGCAGATGTCGCCCCACAAGTTTTTCGTTTCAAGTCGCCCATTTCGGGGGACGACATTTTGTATTGAAAAGTCAACGAGTAAAGAGCAAATAACAAATACGAGCTAGCAGGAAGTTGTGAAAAAAAATCAAGTGGAATTAGAAAAGAAAATCAATTTATTTTATTGAATTCATCCGAAAAAAACCTGAAAAATGAAGTTCCAATACAAGGAGGATCATCCCTTTGAGAAGAGACGTGCTGAGGGTGACAAAATACGCAGAAAGTACCCAGACCGAGTACCAGTAAGTTTGACGACAGAAAAAGTTGAATTGCGTTTGTATTGCAAGTTTATTATACTCGTTCTCATGCAAGCTTATGAAAAAAATTTTAGTAAATTTTATATATATCTCAGTTGTTAATGAGGGGAGCAGTGGTGAGGAAAGGAAATTTTCTTTGTTACGATAAAAGCAGAGTGAGGTACTAATGCTTTTCTCGTTTTAATTGCGTCATAGAATATAAATTTTTAAAAAGTAAATGTAGCGAACAAGTAGCTTTCTGTGTTTTCCCTATTTTTGTATAAAAGTCTACAAAAATCTCGGGTGCACCTATTTACCAAAGTTTAATCAGGGTTAATGTGTGTGTTTTGGTTTTTCGCTAGTGTTTTTTTCCTGTTTTCATAGGTAGTGTTGCCAATCATTCCAAAGAACAGTAACAGTAAAGGACAATAGTGGGGGTTACAGTAGCGGTATTTGTGTGATTCTCACACCCGTTGTAGGGTTCATCAATTGTAGCAGGAATACTACAAAATAGAAAGGGAAACTGTGAACTGGTGATTGAACAAACATTTTGTCAAGGTCAACATCGAACCACCCAATTTAAGGCAACACATATTAGTAAACCTAAAGGTTATTGGCAATAAAAGCATTTCAACATGAAAAAATTAAAATTCTTAATTTGTCAGCTGTTTAATTCGTTCGTTTCGTAAATGCATGCAAAAAAAAAGCAGTCAAACACGTATTATTAGAATCGCAAACAGGCGCTACACAAAAATATCGTCGCTGATACTGCAAAACGGTATAGGTCTATTAGTACTATTGTCACTTAAATGGTCTCTTACTTGCACCGGAATGCATCTGCAAATCGTTACACCCTCCTAAACGAATGACAAAATTGTCTACCTTTGGCTGATGAAGATGAACGATTGCCAGATGTGATCAGATACAGATAACAGCTCAATTAAACACCAGAGGTAAAAAGTGACATAGAACGTTTTGCATTAGCTCCACCGACGATATATTGTTGATTTTGCTAAGGAAAAAAAATGTACTTGCTATGTGTATCTACAATATATGTAGATTTTTGACTTTGTATTAGTGTTTTTTGTTTTGTTTTTCATCTATTCGTCCAGTCTTTACTACTGCGGACATATGTATGTATATATATCTACTGTATATTATGTGCATTTTTCTGCCTTGTATACGTATGGAAATGTGTTTATGCATGAACATACATATGTATGCAGTTTCACAATTTTTCTATATTACTTTGCGAATTTTCTAATTATGTACATACATATCGTTACCTTAATATAGAAAGGCCCTAACTCATAGTCGTTGAA